TTTGGAGCCACATATATATTAAGATGAAACAATAAGGAAATAGGTTTCAATAAGTAAAAGGTGGATATCTATACCATCAACATGGTTGGATGCTTGGAGTTTGTTGTGAGCTAAATTTAGAGACTTGAGAGATAAAAGCTCTGTCAAATATGACAAAATGCTGTTATTGAAGAAATTTTCTTCCAAGTCAAGGATTTCTAAATGGCTCAACTTCTTTGAATGTTGAAGAAACCCTACACGAAGATCACAAGAGTTGTAATTTTGGTTCAATTCAAAAAATAACACATAAATAAAATGTAGGATAGGACAACAATAATGAGATGAATATACCAATCATATACATATTGAAATGCTCGATCGTTGATATTCACAATATTAGCTAAGTTGAACGGTAGATAAAAACCTTCATTTTCAATATGCAACTAGCTATTCAATTAAAATTCAAAGTGAGACTTCAATTCCTCAAATAGAAGAAACAAAGAGGCATTCAGATACATGTCAATGAAACTATCACTATATGCTTCAGCCTGTGTGAAAGTAGGGATGAGTGAGATGACTAGTCTTGTGGTGAAAGTTGCAATCAACCTTCTTCCATTGACAATAATTTGTATTTTTCCTCTCCTCTCACCCAATTTCTTAGAGAAAAAATAGAATTGAAGAAACGTTTGAGTTGGAGGAGAGCAATTCACTATCAGTCCCAAAGCCCTTGGTACCACTGTCAATCTACTAAGAAGAGTGTAAGTAGCACATACATTAACCATTTCAACTCCATCAAAATAAGCTCAGATCAACCGCCAAGTACTGCTACTATATATCTCCGGGCCATTACCAGCAATTCACTTTAGACTTTTATATACACAAGTAAGCATCTATTCCATGATTCCATTTTTTGTCATATATGGGTTCTACACATTCTTAATTCAACTTAGCAGTTTCCACTTTCCACAACAATTATATGTATCCTTTTTCTTTTCCCTTTAATTTCTTATTTCATTAAAAATATATTAAAAAAAGATCGTAACAAATTGGCTTTTATTGAGATGAGATTATCACAGGAAGGAAGAATTTATACCTTCATTATTAATAAATGGATTAATTATATTGAAAAAAAATCAAAATGGTAATTGAAATTATTGACTTTAACGTCCTACTATAAAGCATAAAGGCAAAACTGTACCATAATTTGATGCTAGTAAGTTGCTCCTGGCTAGATTTAGAGACTTGAGAGATGGAAGTTCACTCAAAAATATTAAGACACTATTGTTCAATTGATTGACAGATAGATCAAGAATTTCTAAATTTTTTAACTTGGAAAGCTTCTCGAAACCTGTAAAATGTACAATCATTAATTTAATTTTGGAGCCACACATAAATATTAAGATGAAACAATAAGGAAACAGGTTTCTATGAGTAAAAAAAGGACAATTATACCGTCAACATGGTTAGATGCTTGGAAATTGTTGTTGCCTAGATATAAGGACTTGAGAGATGGAAGCTCACTCAAAAATGTTAAGATATTATTATTCAATTGA